GCAGCGATGCCGGTACAGCGAGTGATGGTGGTGCAAGCAGCGCGAGAGGCAGCCAGCGGGGGCGTAGCAGCAACAGTGGCGGCGGTGGTGGTACTGGTCATGCATCATCAGCATCAGCATCATCGTCATCGGCGTCGTCGTCGTCGTCGGCCGCTGCATTGAGCGGAACGAACATTTTCCTGCACACCGCTGACGGCACCAAGGACCATTATGTCATGGTGTGTATGTGTTCTGGGATGCGGTGTTTGTTTGTTTGTTTGTTTGTTTGTTTGTTTGTTTGTTTGTTTGTTTGTTTGTTTGTTTGTTTGTTTGTTTGTTTGTTTGTTTATTGCGTGATATGGTGTCGGTGTGGTGTGTCTTTTTGTCTTGTTGTGCTGACAGCCGCACGTACCCTTCATGTTCTCTTGGCTGTGCGCCCTCATGTTCAAACCCACTCTCCCCCGTTTCCTCTCCTGTTTGCGTGATGTCAGTACGTTCAACCCATCACGCAGGATGCGCACTTGGTGGTCATCCGGCCGGTGAGTCACTGCCAGGTCTCAATCTTCATGTGTTCTCTCCTGAGTGATGAGCAAACGCAACTCAACACAAACACACAGTCGCTTGTTGCTCTCTCGTCGCATGCTCACTACGAACCAACATTGAAGCACCCGAACACACTCACACACACACACACACACACGTGTACACACACACACACACACACACACACACACATGTACACTCCCTTCAGGGCAACGTCGCCGAGCAGATGGCGCGTGTGTTTAAGCTGTGGGACCGCGTGGTTCATCTTGTTGCCGCCACAAATGCCACCGCCCCGTACTTTGAAGACCACAAGAACACGTGCGTGCTTGCGCATGTGCTTTGTGTGTGTGCTTGGTGTGTATGTGTGTGCGTCTGTGTGTGTCTGTGTCTGTGTGTTTTGATGTGCAGTTTGTGCTTGATGATGTGACGCACACACGTGCTCACTTGCCACTCGCCTTCCCCTGAACGTCACAATGGACCACCAGTGCTGTGCTCGTTGTGCGCGGTGGACTTGAGACGGCGGATTCCATCCTCAGCGTCAACGGCGACTACTACCCGATTGTGAGCGGCACGTCGTTGTGTGTGTGTGTGTGTATATGTGTGTATTCGATCATTGGTACGTGCTAAGTTCTTGTATGTACTCACACTCACACTCACACACACTCACACACTCACACTCACACTCACCACGTGACAGCTGAAGGACCGGTATGTACACAATGGGCGGACGGTATACCAGCACGAGAACAAGTGCACGCACATGTTCCATGATGCCAAGTACGGTGGCTGGGTCATCTCGCCGACGATTGCAGATGGCACGCAGGAATGGATTGCGCGCTGCAAGGACCCAGTGCGTACAGCTGCACTCGTGCTCACAAGCACTCACATGCGCTCACATGCACGTGCGTGTACTTGGTTGTTGTCACTTGTCATTGCGCGTTTCCTTACAATGTGTGTGCGTGCCAACGACAAGATGCTCTGCATGCTCACTTGGACCCACCACCAATCAATCATCCCACTTCTCTTCAGGCTGTGGAGCCGGATCTTACACGAGAGCCATGGCACGTGCGGGGTTACGATGACGAGGAAGTGGAATGCAAGACCATGGCACTGTGCGCATGTAAGTGCTGCGATGATGCGTCATGACTGCCCATCTGTACCATCAACACACACACGCACGCACACATGTTGAAGGTATGCAACGCACACCCCCGAGTGGTTGCGCCTGTTTGCTCTGCATTCCTTACCCTTCTCGATCCCCCGCTCACATGTGCATGCGTGTGCATACCCAATGTGCGCCTCCGCCAGTCAATGCCAACTGCTGCGTGCGCGTTGCACCGGACGCATGGACGCCCTTCACACCGTGCGGTGGTCTCACCTCTACCCTCAGGTGTGTTTTGCCGGCCTGTTTGATGACGTGGCGTGGTGCATGCGTGAGTGCATGTGTGCGTGTGTGTGCGTGCGTGCATGATCTCATGTATGTGTGTGAACATGCAAATGCTGCTTATCTCACACACGTGATTTCGCTCACCCCTTTGCGCTCTCCACACGCGTTGTGTGTGTTCTGCATGTGTTTGCAGCAACGAGTTGATCGATGTGCTGGTGCAAGTCTACCTGGAACACCACGCTGACGTGATTGCTCGCGAGGAGCGAACAAAGAAGCTGGTCGCAAACATCCGGGTGTGTGTGTGTGCATGCGTGTGTATGTGTGTTTATGTGTGTGTGTGTGTGCATGTGTGTGCATGTGTGTGTATGCGTGTGTGTGTGTGTGTGTGTATTGAGAGGTATCTAAGGGCAACATCAACCTTGCACACTGTAGCACTCACGCACGTGTCGGCTCCGTGTTTTTTGTTCCAATCATATTCACCCATGCCCTCGCTCGCTCCCTTACCACCACCGTCACCACCACCGTCACCACCACCACAATCACCATCACCATCACCACCACCCCACTGTAGGCGACCAAAGAGGTGTTGACTGCAGTGAAGCGGTGGTTGACACGCGATTACCCGAAGTTTGCGGCAAAGTTGGAGTGCAACATCGAAGTGCCAACGCAGCCCAGCAACAGGGTATGTTCCACGGCACTGTTGCGTTTTGAATGTTTGCGAGCTGCACCTGTAATCTGTGTATTATCGTTGTGAGACGGAACACACGCTCGCGGGCAAAAGCACACGCACACTGGCAAAGGCACACGCACGCACTCGCACACGCACTCGCACACGCACTCGCACACGCACGCACACACACATACTGACGCACACAAATGTACTTGTGTGTATCCGTTGCCCGTGCCTGCTTGTAGTGGACAATGCAGGAGTTTGAAGGCGCGGACTCTGCGGTGAATCGGCTCTACAATGCCATACGAGACCGCTTGTTTGGCACGTTTGTGTCCCGCTGCCTGAAGTCAGACACGACGCTCAAGGGGAAAGCGGTGCAAGCAGTGCTGGCAAAACTGTCCATCTTCTTGCAGCCAGTCATGCTGGAGAGCCTGCGAGCAAGCGCAAATGCAGATCCATATCGCCAGGTGCGACTCAAGTACCCTGGTCTCGTCCATTTTCTCTTTGTGAACCGATCAAAGGACATGCTGTACTGCAGCCCGCTGCCAGATATTCGCGCTTCCTCTCGCCGTCATGACTCAACCTCCGACGATGGTACGTGGTGGTCTGGCGCAGTGGATAACCTCTGCTGTCTGCATTTCGTGTTCTTGACGGGTTGTGTGCGCGCGCGCGTGTGTGTGTGTGTGTGTGTGTGTGTGTGTGTGTGTGTGTGTGTGTGTGTGTGTGTGTGTGTGTGTGGTGGTTGAGTGAGTGCTCAAGTGGCATCATTGCCCACACACTCTTTGACACACTCACGCATTCACACGCACACACTCTCACACACACACACATTCACACACACACACACACACACACACACACACACTCTCTCTCTCTCTCTCTCTCTCTCTCTCTCTCTCTCTCTCTCTCTCTCTCTCTCTCTCTCTCTCTCTCTTTATCCCTCTCATTCACACACACATTTTGTCTTGTGGTGCATGTTCTTATTTTGGCGTAGCCACACCCCAAAGTGTCCTCAAGTTCATTCCAGACTTCAAGGACCAGTTGTGGGCGTTTTATTTGGAGGCGCGTGACCGTTTGGTCCACGGATTTACAACCTACAGCTCCAAACAGACCTCGCTGCGCTTCCTCTACACCGTGTGGTTCGAGTCGAATGGCGACAGGTATGTGTGTGTGTGTGTGTGTGTGTGTGTGTGTGTGTGTGTGTGTGTGTGTGTGTGTGTGTGTGTGTGTGGCAGTGCAGAAACGTTGCATGGATATTCGCGCCCCGTTGCAAGTGCTGCTCGTGCCTCATGCGTGCTGCACGTCGATTGCTCCGCCTACAGGCTGCTGCCACCAGCGAACACAGCAACGCAGGCTGCATTTCGTGAACTCGGCAGGAACAACTCCGCCGGCAGCACGGTACGTGAAGAGAACTGGTTGTTTGGGCAGCAAGAAATTAGTGTTTGGTGCATACAAGTTGATGCTTGGTGCAATGTGGCTGCGCCGCACAAACAAACACACACACACATTCACACTCACGCACATTCACTCACACACACACACACACACACACACACACTCTCTCTCTCTCTCTCTCTCTCTCTCTCTCTCTCTCTCTCTCTCTCTCTCTCTCTCTCTCTCTCTCTCTCTCTCTCTCTCTCTCTCTCTCTCTCTCTCTCTCTCTCTCTCCCTCCCTCCCTCCCTCCCCACTCACTCACTCACTTACTCACGTTGGTGTGTTCTTTCTGTTCAGGCCTTCAAGGCACTGACGAAACAGCTGTTCCCGGAATGGAAACACGAAGTGGTGTGCTTTGAAATGTGTTATGTCTCCCTGTCGTTCTTCCCAATCGACTTTGTCTGCGAGCAAGCAACAGCGCTCGCAAAGGAAATCAGGCGACTGCACGAGTAGCTCGTGTGTGTGTGTGTGTGTGTGTGTGTGTGTGTGTGTGTGTGTGTGTGTGTGTGTGTGTGTGTGTGTGTGTGTGTGTGTGTGTGTGTGTGTGTGTGTGTGTGGTCCTGGTCTTGCGCGCCGAGTTTCTCTGGTGTTCCCTTCGCATTCGAATTGAACTGTTTGCTACATTGCCCTTTGTTACCACCACGACCATCCCCCGCCCCCATCTCTCTCCCTGCAGCTTGGTGCTGCTGTGCTGTTGTACCTCGCGTGTTCTCATTCGCATTTACAGGGTCCTTCCTCTTTCTGCAGATGTAAAGTAAACTACCAAAACAATGAATGAACGGCAAAGAGTCCAAAAGCTGATGGTCCTCCCAACACAAAACGCTTCCTCCATGCCCCACACCAAATAGCAGGCTCTCCCTTTCTCTCAACAAGCAAACACACACACACACACACACGCACTCTCTCTCTGTCTCTCTCTCTCTCTCTCTCTCTCTCTCTCTCTCTCTCTCTCTCTCTCTCTGTCTCTCTCTCTGTCTCTCTCTGTCTCTCTCTCTCTCTCTCTCTCTCTCTCTCTCTCTCTCTCTCTCTCTCTCTCTCTCTCTCTCTCTCTCTCTCTCTCTCTCTCTCTCTCTCTCTCTCTCTCTCTCTCTCTCTCCAACTGGCTCTCTCTTGTTCACGCACCCTGGCTCGCTCTCGATTATGCTCGCTGCTCAGCAATCCGCATGTCATCAAGACTGCCCCTGCCGCGTGTAACCGCTAGCGGGCGCTGTGCTGTACGGTGCACCAGGCTGTTGTTGTTGTTGTAGCTGCTGCTGCTGCTGCTGTGGTTGTGTTTGTTGTTGTGGTTGCTGTTGCTGCATTGTCGGTGGGCCGCCGGGCTGTGTTTGCGGCATGGGCCGTGATGTGGAGGACACACTCGCCGATCGCGACATGACGTGGGGCGACGATGAAGACGCGCCCATGGATGACGTGCGGGCACGCGCGGGGGAGCGTGTCTGCGCAGTCTGCAGCCACCGCTGTATCTCCGTCACCTAACGCCGACGCAACATCGCAAACCGCACGGGCAGGGACAAGGTGTAATGAGAATGGTGTTCGACAATCAAAAGGAAACACTCCACAGATACACACACACACACATCGACGCACACGCACACACACACACACACACATTCGCACATTGACGCACACGCACACACACACACACACATTCGCACATTGACACAAATGAACACATTCACACGTCCACACATCGGCACACGTCCACACATCGACACACCTCGACACTCCCATACACGCATACACAAACGTACACACAGGGTACATACCTTTGCTTCCTCCGACATGGTTTTGTCGTTGTACACGTTCACGACGTAGGTAAAGTTTGGATCAGCGCTGTAGTGTTGCCGTACATATGCCAGCAGCGAGGCAGAGTTGTACTGCACACCACTACCACCAGCACCAGCACCAGCAGTACCGGTTGGCCCCGCGGTACTGCTCGTCGCGTATGCGCTCCCGGGTACAGCGTGCGTGCTCATTGACGTGCGGCGTGACATCTGTTTTGGCGTGTGCGCCTTGGACGAACCCGCCGACTGCGGTGCGTATGCATATGTGCCGGGCTGCTGCGGCTGCTGGGCGTATGCCCGGCCGGGGACTGTGGAGGTGGTGCTGCTGCCGTAGGGCAGGCTCGTTGGCACCGTGGCCCCGCTGACACCGGCACCGACTGATGTGATCATGGTTGTTGGCACGGTCGACGCCATGCTTCCAGTCGCCCCTGCAGTGCCCATCATCGGCCTCACCCCACCGGGCCGTATTGTGCCTGTGCTGCTCGCCATGGGGCTGCCCATGTGCGGGTGTGGCGCCGTGGATGCTGTCGAATACACACTCGTTGATGCCGGCACACGCGACATGGGTGCCGTCGCATAGCGCGTGCCGGCCTGGTGCGGTGATGCCGTGCCAATACCCTGACCAGCAACAGCGGGGCGGGCATACTGCGGCGCTGGCTGACCCGCGCCAACCGTGCTGCGAGCACTCGGCATGTAGGCACCCGTGGTCGGCGCAGTTGTGCTGCCACCAGGGCCCGGCATGGCTGGCTGCGTCATCACCTGGGGTGACGACGACGGTGGGGCCTGACCCATTGCCCGTGACACGGGAACACCGCCACGCGGCTGTTGTTGTTGTTGTTGCTGCTGGTGCTGGTGCTGGTGCTGGCCAGACATTCCCGCCACACCACCGCGGGCACCCGCTGCTCCGGAGGTGTGGGTCAACGGTTGCTGCTGACGTGGGGCCGTACCAGCGCCACGCACGGGTGTGGTCTGCTGAGACGACGAGGAGGGACCACCCTGCACCATGCCGGTTGGCCCGCGAGGCACGTTGCCCACAGGCGCCGTGGTCGCGCCACCACGTGGCTGCTGCTGTTGTGGCTGCTGCTGCTGCTGCTGCTGCCCAACGGGCATCTGCCCTTGCACTCGCGATGCTGGCGCCTGTGAGTAGATTTGCGCCTGTTGCTGGGGCATGCGCGCAGGCACATTGCGCAGCTGGCCCTGCTGGGTGTGCGCCGGCCCCTGAGACGGCATGTTGCGGGCTTGGGCCGGGTTGCTCGTCATGGGCATTGGCCGCTGCTGTTGCATTGTTGATGTCGGCACTTGTTGCGGGTGCTGTTGCAGAGGGCGGCCCTGCTGTTGTGCAACGCTGCCACCACCAGCTGCTCTCCCTACCGGCATGGCACGCGACTGCGCATATGCACCGCTGCCATTCGTGCCACCGGGCGCCTGGCCCTGAGGTCGGACGCCAGGTATGGAAGCGCGCTGGCCAGAGATGGCACCGTGGCGACCCGTGTTGACCCCAGCTTGCTGTTGTGGATGCTGTGTGTGCTGTGGGTGCTGCTGTGGCTGTTGTTGTGGCTGTAGCTGTTGATTTTGTACGCCCACCACTTGCTGCATTCCTGCCGGTGGTTGTCCTGGTCGCCCTTGCTGTTGCTGTTGCTGTTGTTGTTGTGACGGAACGCCCCGCAGCTGTTGTTGTTGTTGTTGTTGTTGTTGCTGCTGCTGTTGCTGTTGTTGATGTTGCTGCTGCATGGCCACCCGTCCCGGCATGTTTTGCGCCTGGGCCTGCTTCATCGCCTGTATGTGCGCCTGGCGCCGCTGCATCAGGGCTGCAGATCGCGCCTTCAGGTAATCGTCGTTCAGCTTCTGCGTCAACTCCACCACAGACTCCGTGCCCACGCGTGCTTGGTCGAGAATGGCCTGCTGGGACTTCCGCGCCTCCTCAGAAGCGGCCGGAGGGGGTGGCGCTGGCGCGCGCGAGGAATGCGCCTTAACAATGGCCGTGAACACGTTGCGGTGGAAGTCAATCACAGACTGCCGGTTGTCCTTCTCGTGCAGCTGCTGCGTCGTCAGCACCTGCAATTGCAGCAGTATGACGCCAAGTTGTGAGCCATAGCCCACCAAGCAGTCAGACAAGCAAGCACAGGAGCACAATTGCAAGTGCAGGAGCAAAAGTAAGCACGGGTGCTACAGCAAGCAAGCAAGGGTGCAATAAAAAACGACAATTCCACAACGAGAACACACACACACACACATACGCACGCGCACACACACATACGCGCGCGCACACACACGCACACACACGCACACACACACACTCTCTCTCTCTCGCTTGCTGTCTCTCTCGCTCTCTGTCACACACACACACACGCACACACACACACACACAAGCGCGCATACGCACACACACACACACGTGCGCGCGCATACGCACACACGCACCGGCTGTCCCTTTGCTGGCTCTTCCTTCTTTGCCTTCTTCTTTGTCTTCTTCTTGCCATCGTCCTTCTTCTTAGAGGGCGGGCGCCCGTCCTCACGGTTCACCAGCACGTTGAAGTAGCGGTCACGGCACTGCAGCCGCGTGCGCGGGCGCCCTGTAAACGACGTGCACACATTCATCGTGTCAGCAACCAGCTGCCAGTTGACAGTGCTGTTTGCGCACATGTGCCGGCGCACGGCTGCCAGCAGCGTCCAGTCCTCCTCCACAGTCCACGGCGCCGCTTCCCTGTTGGTGTCCACGTCCCGCTTATCCTTGGAGGCGCCCGAGGACTTGACGGGCCGCTTCGGGTGCCGGTGCATCTTGATGCCATACCGCCCACCCTTGTCGTCGCGCCGCCGGAAGATGGACGCGGAGATGCCGCGCCCGTGGTGCAGCGCCTTCTCGCCAAGCTCGCGCGCACGCTTCTCCGAGATGTCCCGCACGCCCAGGTCCATCGTGCGCTGCCACATGAAGTTGGTGCCCTTGCGGCTCGCCCGACGCTGCAGGTCCTTGTACTTCTTGCGGAACCGCTTGCGCCGCTTGGTCAGGTCGGGCGCAGCGGGCACAAAGTGCATAAACGCCACGCGGTATTGCGCCCAGTGCGCCGTCTCCACATGCGGGGCCATGGCCTCGCTGCTGCCGTGCGCCGGCGGCTGCGGTGGGCCGTACAGCGGGCTGGCGGCCTCCTCAGACTGCGCCGTCGCCTCCATGTACGCCCGCAGCGCCTCCTGCATCTTCTCCTCGCTGTAGAAGAGTTCCTCCTCCTCTTCCGTCGACAGGCCATCGTCGTTGCCTGCACGCATCCTATTCTCCAAGTTGCACAGCGCGCGATGCTTCTCGTCCATGGCGCGGCGGGCATCGGCCAGCTTGCGCTCGTGCTGCGACGACAGGTACCGCTCCAGCACGTTGAGGGCGTGGTGCTCCACCCCACGCAGCCGCTTCATCTGCTCCTCCAGCAGCTTGGCCGGGTCAATCTCTTCCTCGTCCGTCTCCACATCGCTCCGCGCCGCGCCACCCGCACGCCCTTGTTGTTGCTGCTGCTGCTGCTGCTGCTGCTCATGCTCTGGGGACGTAAACGCGGCGCCCGCCTCTTGCTCTGCCATGTCACCCTCGGCAGTTTGTTGTGTGGGCGCGCTTGCTTTGGCGCGCTTGCTGCCTCGCGTTGGTGTGGCTGCTGCCGACGATGTCGCTGCTGCTGCTGCCGCTGCCGCTGCGGGGTGTTTGCGCTTTGGCGTGTCGCTGGTTGAGCCGACGGGCGTACCGTCCTCGTCAAACTCGGCCAGCTCCTGCGACAACTCCTGCCGCGCCGTCTGCAACGCCTGGCGATCTGTCTCGTCCTCCGCCGCCAATAGCGCCTGCTCGAAACCTTCCTCGCCCTCACCAGCCGTGGCAGCGCCATCGTCAGTCGCAGCACCAGCCTCTGCTGTTGTTGCTGCCTTAGCCTTCTTGTCCTCGCCTGTGACGGGGCCAAGGTCCTCCACGTTGGAGTCGCCCTCAAACAGCTCCATCAGCTTGACGCTCTTCAGGCCCTCTGTCGTGAACGCACCGCCCTCAATGGCAATGTCGCCAAGCTGCCGCTTCTGCTGCGCCTTCTTGAGAATGTTCTCCTCCACCGTCTTGGCGCACACCAGCCTGTAGATGTGCACGTCCCTTGTCTGGCCCAGGCGGTGGGCGCGGTCCTGCGCCTGCGCGTCCATGGTCGGGTTCCAGTCGCTGTCGTAAAACACGACCGTGTCTGCGCCCGTGAGGTTGACGCCAAGCCCGCCAGAGCGCGTGGAGAGGATGAAGCAGAAGAGGCGCGAGTCTCGGTTGAACCTCTCCGTCATCTGCTGCCGCCGCACCACGGGGGTGGACCCGTCCAGCCGCAGATACGTAAACGCGTGGAACGCAAGAAACTGCTCCAGGATGTCCAGCATCTTGGCCATCTGCGTGAAGATGAGCACACGGTGGCCGCCAGCCTTCTTCTCCCTGAGCAGCTTCTCCAGCACCTGCAGTTTCGAGCAGTGGTACTGAATCAGCGCCCTGTCCGGCAGCACGAGCGCGCGGTCCTCCTCTGCTGCGTCCCGCACAAGCGCTTGGAAAGTGGTGGTGGGGCGAGCGGCCCGGTTGCGCAGGGGCTGCGACCACATGCACTTCTGCACGGCGCGCACGCCGCCGACGGTGGTGGGGGCGACATCAAGCGCCGGGCAGCGGGCAGGCTCCACGGCCATGGAGAATCGCCGCACAACAGCAGCCAGCCCTGCTCGCCGATCAGCCACACTCTGCACAAGCGGCAAAATGTCCGGGTCCGCGGCATTGTTGCTGGTGTTGTTGGGGGTGTCAGTGGTAGCGGTGTTGTCACTGCTGGTGGTGGTTGTGGTGGTTGCGGTTGGAGGGGCGAGGTACGAGCTGAGCGCCGTGGTTGAGATGGAGGCGACCGGGCGAGGCGGCATGGTCACGGCCGAGCGCAGGGCGTCACCGTACACGGCACTGCGGTCGCACATGAGCGTGTTGATGTGCGCGCGGTGGTTGAGCAGGGCGCGCTGCTGCTTGCGCCGGCGCATGAGCAAATCCAGGTAGTTTTCGCCGCCGCTGTTCTTCTCCTCCTCTGTCGGTGGCTCGCGCTCAATCTCAAACCCAACCGGGAGCCCGAGCGAGCGAATGGCGTCTGCGTCCGCGTGCAGGGACACGTCGCCGCGCAGTTCGCAGTGCAGCAGCGCCAGTCCAAACAGGTCCAAGTTGACGCGTGCCGGGTTCGGGGCGGCAGCAAACCAGTCGCGGTCGTCAAGGGCACCGATGACGAGGGAAGGCACCTCATACCGCAGAGGCCGCAGCACAAGCGGACTGACCACACGCGGCTCCGCAAACAGATTCGGGTGGTTGCACACCTTGCGCAGCTGCATCAGAATGTTGATCACACTCAGATAGTTGCCTGCATGCGCACGTGGATGTGTGTGTGTGTGCGTGAGTGAGTGAAGCAGAGTGAGTGAGTGAGGCAGCGAGTCAGTGGTGAGTGAGTGAGGCAGTGAGTGAGTGAGTGAGGGGCAGCAGCGTGTCAACAACGCAGTTGATATGTAGAATTCAAAATGGAGCGCTAACACGGACGTGCAACGTCAGAAAACATACCTGCTGCGATGGTTTCCTTTGTCTTTGTGCGGGACATAAACTCGTCATAGAGCTCACGCTGCCGCCGCGAGAGGTCGCACGTGATCACATGCTCGTACTTCTTCGGCATCTGCACACATGTACACACATGTGCACACATGTGCGAGTGGAGGGAGAGGGGAAGGTGGTGAGGCACTCGTTGAGGCAGGGACGGGTGCCAAGGTGGAAGCACTCAACCCGAACACATGGGTCGATGAAGTGCACTCCAAACACACAACGCACAACACAGTCACACGAACGAAACAGACACACACACACACACACACACACACACACACACACACACACACACACACACACACACAAACACAACCATGTAGTCGCGCGCACCTGGAGCTCGACGTCTGCCTTGAGCCGGCGGAGGATAAAGGGCCGCAGGAGCTTGTGCAGGCGGGAAACACGCTCCTTGTCACGCTGCTTGGCTGCACGCGTGCTCTCAACCATCTCCCGCACGGGGTTGCCAAACCACTCGCGAAACTGCTGGTGCGACTGGAACACGCGCGGCATGAGAAAGTGGAGGAGGGACCACAGCTCCATGAGGTCGTTCTGCAGCGGCGTGCCCGTGAGCAGGAGGCGGCGGCGAGAGGTGAAGCGAAGCAACGTCTGCCACCGCTTCGACTCAAAGTTCTTAATGTGGTGCGCCTCGTCAAGAATCAGGTACTTCCACTTCTTGCGCTTGAAGATGTGCGCGTCCTGCACGGCAAGCTTGTAGCTGGTGATGCACACGTGAAACTGGTCGGGCTTCGTCCAGCCAACGCGCTTCTCACGACGCTCCTTGATGGTCCCGTGGTAGTTGAGGACCTTGAACGCCGGGCACCACTTCTTCAGCTCCATCTCCCAGTTCACCATCACGCTGGTGGGCACCACAATGAGGTGCGGCCCCCAGTTGTTGCGCGTGACGGCGAGGTGGGCCAGCAGCGCAATGGTCTGGATGGTCTTGCCAAGGCCCATCTCGTCAGCAAGGATGCCGTTGAGGTTCTTCGCGTGCATGGTGGCCAGCCAGTCCAGCCCAATGTGCTGATACGGCCGCAGCTTGCACTTGAGCAGAAACGGCACGGGCGTGTTGATGTTGCTTGTGTCCGTGTTGGTGGCGTCCACCGCCTGCGCCGTCTCCAGCTCCCGCCCAACGGCTTCCACCTCGTCTCGGGTGCTGGGGCCATCAGCGTCCTGTCGTTTGCCTGCCAGCAGCAGTAGATCCTGCCGCGTCTCCCTGTCCGCTGTCTCTGCATCTGTTCCACTCTCTTCCTCAGCGTCACCAGCACCATCACCCTCGGCCTCAGACTTTGCGCCGTCATGCTGCCCTCCCTCTTCTCCTCCTGCTGTTTCCCCCTCTTCCTCTTCCTCCTCCTCCTCCTCCTCCTGCTTGACGGCGGCGCCTCTGCGACGGGAGCTGCGGCGGCGGCCACGGCCCCGCCCGCGCGCTGCTGTTGCCGCTGTTGCTGCTGTGCGACTCGACCGACTCCGCCGCGACCGACGCGTGCGCGGTGTCCTCGGTTCTTCTTCCTCCTCATCCTCTTTTTCGTCCTCTTCTGCTTCTTCTTCTTCTTCTTCTTCTTCCTCCTCATCCTCTCCTTTGTCGTTTTGGCCAGCATCCTCCTCTTGTTCCTCCTCATCCCCGCCTTCCTTGGCGTCTTGCTTCTTCTTCCTTCTCCCTCCCTTCCCCTTCTTCCCTGCTGCCTTCTTGGCCTTCTTTCCCTGACGTTCGGCTTCTTCCTCTTCACCCTCTTCATCCTCCTCACCACCATCATCATCCTCCTCGTCCTCCTCGCCACCCTCCTCGTTGCTCTCTCCTTCGTCCCCCTCCTCCTGCTCTGCCATGCGCTGGTACATGGCCAGCAGTTCCTCAATCGGCATCTCCCCGCCCTTGGCAAGGTCAGCAAGCTCACCCTCCGCATCCTCGGGCTCATCCGCTGAATCTACAGAGCTCTCGTCATCATCATCCTCCCCACTGCCTGCTCCCTCCTCGTCTTCGCCGTCACCACCACGGCTAGCAGATGCCTTGCCCTCTGCATCAGACGGCACATACTCTTCGTCCTCCTCTTCTTTCTTCACTGCGTCTCTCTTGCTGCGCTGCTTCTTTGCAGCCTTGCCCTTTGCCTTGTTGGCACCGTCGTCACCACTTGCGCCCGCAGCTGCTGTCGTCGAATCGGCCACCTGTGTGGGTGCGCCCTGTTGCTGCTGCTGTTGCTGTTGTTGTGACGGCGCCGGCGGGAGCGTGATCTGTTGGCCTGTTGCTTGCTGTAGTGCAGCTGCGTGCTTGGCGGCTGCGCGGCGCGCGTGTGCGGCCATGGCCGTTTTGCCGTACTCTGCATACTTGCCCTGCAGCCCGCGCGTGAGATCCTCTGTAAACGACTGCGTCTGTCCAACCAGGTAGTCCAGGTGTTTGTTCATGGCATCTGTCTTGACAGCGTCCAGCTCCAGCTTGTGCTTGTAGTCGACGACCTTGAGCATCTGTTTCCAAAACACCTGCACGTCGCGCGCCACGTTTGCAGCCACCTTCCTCTTCCGGTTGAGCTCCTGCCGCATGCGTCGCCGGCCCTCCTGCGCCCGCGCCTCATGCCAGCGCACCACAGCGCGCGCAAGCTTCCGTGCCACCGCAATCTTCCACTTGCGCTCCATGCGGAAGTCGTCGCTGAGCCACGCCATCTCCTCCAGCAGGTAGTCCTGGTGCACCTTTGGGCGGGCCGGCTCGGCAACCTTGGGCAGGCGCTTGTCAACCCACACCCCTTGCTGCCTCTTCTCGCTGATGCGCTGCTGCAGCTCTTTCTCCGCGTGCAGCAGCCGTGCTGCCTCGTCCAGCGACACCTTCAGCTTCATCTTCTTCGGTGCTGCTGATGTGGCTGTTGGTGCCGCCCCGCCTGTCGTGGTGATCGCCTGCGTGCCAGCCTTCCCCGCTGCCACCGCCGCTGTTTCCTGCTCGGGCTGCTTTTCCGCATCAACAGCAACAGAGGCGGCTTTGCTGCGGGTTCGTGGTGTGCGCTGGGCAGCAAGGCTCGTGCCGGGTGTTGGAGTGGTTGTCGTTGCTGCTGCTGTTGCTGCTGCTGCCTTTGCACGGCGTGCCTTTGGTGTGGCCACGCCTGTCGCAGGCACGGCCGCTGTCGGCGTTGCTTCTGGCAGCGCGTCCTCCTCGGCAAGCGCGCTGCCAGCCCGGCTGCTCTTGCCTGCCTTCCCTGCCGACCGCGGTGTCTTGCCACGTGCGCGGCTCTTGCCCTTGCCACGGCCCTTCCCGCGCCCGCCACCACCGGTTACGGGCGACCCGGGTCGTGGCGACGCGCCGCCGCCGGGCGAGGCAGAGCGCGAGCCAACGGTGGCCCGCTTTGGGGTGGGCTGCCCGCTGTCTGCGCTGCTCTTGCGCTTCCCCGCAGTGGTGCGGGCGGTGGTGACGCCGTCAACGCGGTTTCGCGCCACAAACTCCTCCATCGCAGGGCTGCCGCTGGTGCGGGCGTGTAGCAGGTCGGCCAGGCTGTTGTTTGTGCTTACAAGGAACAGCTCCCGTAGCCGTAACTCGTGCGCTTCCAAGAACACCTTCAGCTTGAGGTTCAGCAGCTCCTTCACACGCGCGCGCACGGACACCGGGCCAGCCTCGCCCTCACCACCTTCCTGCTTCGGTGCCTGCGAGGCATTGCCTTGTCTCGCAGACTCTGCGTCATCCCCAGGCTGTGTGGCGGCAGTTGGTGTGGCAGGTACTGTGGGTGTGGCAGTCGCCGTTGTCTCTGACGCTGTGGCGGCTGTTGCCGTTGTTGCTGTGGGTGTAGGCGTGTTTGAAGTGGCGGGTGCATTTCCTGCTTGTACTGGATGCACAGGGGCAGATGTGTGCTGCTGATTGTCCGCGGGTGCAGATGCAGGTGGAGCAGGCGTGCTGGTTGACGGCTGGGCCACAGCGGTGGTGTTTGCTTGTGCTGTGTGTTGCGGAAGGGTTGTTGTCATTGCTGTTGCTGCTGGTGCTGCTGTTGCTGCTGGTGCTGCTGTTGCTGCTGGTGGTGTTGTTGTTGTTATTGATGGAGTGGTCGCGGAGGATGGTGGTGTTGGTGCTGCGGTTGTTGACGCTGCCGTTGTTGTTGGTCCAGTAGCCGTGGTGGGTTGGTCGACCGGCACCGTCGTCGCTGCTTGTGCGCCAGTCTGCTGCGCCACCGCTGGCGTTGTTGTGGCGGCAGTCGATGGCGCCGACGCTGGTTTGCTTGTGTCGTCCGCCATCCTGACATAGTTAAAAAGGGAAGAACGAGAGGATCATCATCGGGTGAATAGCAGTTGAGGACAAGCGAAACGAGCAGGTAGGAACGAGTGGGTGAGTTCATGCATGCACGCACAGTGGACGCTGTGTTGTGTGTTGTGTGTTGTGCATTGTGTTGTGTGTGTTGTGTTTGTTTGCTGAATCAGGTTGCCTCAACCACGACCGCGTAACACACACGTTCGAAGCCCAGCACGCGGTGGATCGACAACAAAGGTCACACACAGCAGGATACAAACGGACCAACACACATGAACACACACACACACACACGTCCACTGTCACGTTCACACCACCACCACACACGCATCCACCAACCTGCCTGCCTTTCTTCTTTGCGGCTTGTGTCGACTGGTTGGCGCTCGAAGGGAAATGTTGCGAATAATTTCGCAGTAATTTCGGCAACAGCAGCAGCACCACAGGCGACAACGACGAAGCGAACGTTGCCGTTTGTGTGGTTGAAGGCGAGCGAGGAGAAGGGCAAGTAGGGGAACAATACAGGCGCACGTGAGTGTGGTTGTGCGTGAGTGAGGATGAGCGACCGGATAGAGGGCACAGGAGATGCTGGGCTGTCGAAGGCGCGGCTGGCAAGGCTGCCATCCCACTTGAGGTCAAGATTGGGTGAACCCGGTGCGAAAGGGGACAGCAGCAATGGGAAAGGACGACGATACCGTGACGATGGAAGCGGCGGCAACACCAGCACCAGCACAAGCAGTGGTGGTGGCAGTAGTCGGGGCAGGGGTGGCTCTGACGGTCGCACACGATTGCACGAGGGTGGCAGTGGCGGCTCTCGAAGGCGAGGCGCACGAGGGCAGTTCAGAGACACGCTGGGGGACGATGATGAGGATGATACGACGACGGCGGCGCTGCTGGCATCTGCAGAGCGGCAACGGCAACAGCGCAGACGCCAAGACAAGACTGGTCGTCGGGGCACCAGCTCCTCATCCCGCTCATCTCGCACCACCACTGCAACAGCGGCCGGTGAAAGCGGCAGCAGCAGAAGCAAGCGAGACTCGCGCGACCGGCGCGCTGAGGCCAGCAGAGACGACCGCAGCCACCGCAGGGAACGAGCACCAGCGGCCAGCAGCACGAGTGGCAGCGGCAGCACGAGTGGTAGCGACACCAAGCCAGCGCCAAGTAAGAGCAAGGACAGTAGCAGCGATGATGCGGCTGCGCGGCTGGTGGCCATGCTGGTCAAGCGATCCTCTGCCAAGCCATCGCCCACACCCACCCCTGGGGTGCTCAGCGGGAAACAGAGCACCAAGCAGAGCGCAAGGCAAAGCGCGAAACAGAGCGCGCGACAGAGCGCGCGACAGAGTGCGACGTCGTCGCCAACACCGGCTGCAACAGACAAGCTGGCGGCCAAGCTGACTGAGCGCGGTGCCACCACACCCCCTGCAGCCGACGACAGGGCACACGCGCGAAAGCAGGCAACACCAGAACACGCCGCCCGACACGCAAGGGAGGCAACACCTGAAGGCGTGCCTGGCGACACGACAGCACCAGCAACAACAACAACAACAACAGCAACAACAGCAGCAGCAGCCACCGCTGTGACAACACCACCAACGGAAGTATTGTCAGCGGCCATGGACGTGAGCGCAGATAGTGCACGTGCCAGCACACCGACCGACACAAACGCAACGCCGCCCGGCACACCACCATCAGGGCCGCAGACGACAGCAGGGGATGCAGAGAGGGGAGGAGGAGCCAAGCGACGCGTCCCACCGGGCGGTGCAGTGGAGGAGGGCGACGGTACCCCGGATATGAAGCGCGCTGCGACGACTGCTGACGACGAGGATGACACGCCGACGCGGAGGGAGCGGCAGTACATGGACGAAAAGGTGGAGAAGGAGGTGGAAAGGAAGGAGGGGAGGCAGCGAGGCAAAGAACTAGATGGAGGGGGGCGCAGTGGTGACGGCGGGGCAGCAGTGACAAGGGAACAGCACAGCGACGCGACGGTAACCACTGCAGCTGCTGCTGTGAGTGAGGAGGTGATGGTGCATGATCCACTGGATGCGTTTGACAGCGATATGCATGAGGAAGCACCCGAAATCTATTTTCCAGCAGAGAAGGGATGCAGGTCGGTTTCATGGTGGTGGTGGTGCCTGGCGCATGTGTATGTGTATGTGTGTGTGTGTGTGTGTGTATGCGTGCGTGTGTGTGTGTGTGTGTGTGTCGATGCTGGCATGCGCCTGTGTTGTTCTATGTTGCATTGTGCCAGGGATGCCTGCGCACAGCAACTCACATCGCGTTAACGTTTTGTGACTTCAGGAGCATTGATGTGTACGAGCGACTGAACATGATTGACGAAGGAACATATGGTGTTGTCTTTCGTGTTAAAGACACCAGCACAGGGTAAGCATCCGCACACATGCGTGCGTGTGTGCATGTGCGCATGCTGTGTGTGTGTGTGTGTGTGTGTGTGTGTGTGTGTGTGTGTGTGTGTGTGTGATTGGGCTTTATGAGCCATGGCCGGGCTGTCGTTCACCTCGCAGTGCCGTGCGAATGTGTGCGGAGCAGTGAAGTGCTGGCTGTGAAGAGACTGAAGATGGAAGCAGAGCGAGAGGGGTTTCCAATCACATCTCTCCGCGAAATCAACACGCTCCTCAAGGTGCGTACGGGTGCACATGTTGTGTGTGTGTGTGTGTGTGTGTGTGTGTGTGTGTGTGTGTGTGTGTGTGTGTGTGTGTGTGTGTGTGCACATGTGGGGGTGGGTGTCTTCCTGCGTGCTCGTCTGTGTATTGAACTTGATGACACGGTAGTACGCGCTGTTGTGCAGTCACCTCACACACGTACTCGTGCATCTCACACACACGTACTCATGCATCACACACTTACACACACATATGTGCGCAGGCGAAGCACGAGAATGTGGTGAATGTGAAGGAGATTGTAACGGGCCACACCATGAACGACATCTTCATCTGCATGGAGTTTGTCGAACACGACCTCAAGGTTGGTGTGTGTGTGTGTGTGTGTGTGTGTGTGTGTGTGTGTGTGTGTGTGTGTGTGTGTGTGTGTGGTGAAACTCTACATCTAAGGGTATGGGTTATATCAATAGGGCAGCAAGGGGATGACTATTCGTAGACGGGCAATGAAGGTGTCACCGTACACTAGCTACCTGCTGGTTACCATATTGGAATGGTTACCTCGTCGGCTACAGTTGGATGTGTTAGTGAGTTCCTATCTTGCGACTTGTCAAGATTTAATAAGTTCTAGCAAGGTAAGGTAAAACTGGAGTCCTGTGCGTCGGCTTGAATGCTTGACTGGACTGTCTCCGTTAGGCTTCAATTGAGTTTTGCATGAACGTCTAGAG